GAAATTGTCTTTCAAAGAAGTCACTTTTAAAGGAATAGTTCACTCAAAAATGAAATGAAAATGTACTCGCCCTCAGGCTATCCAAGATGTAGATGAGATTTGGAGAAATGCATCATTACATAACATCACCAGTGGACTCTCTGCAGTGAATGGGTGCCGTCAGAATGAGAGTCCAAACAGCTGATAAAAACATCACAAATCTTTGACATGACTCCATTGCAGTTTTCTCCAGGTCTGTTCTGATGAAGAAACAATCTCATCTTGGATGGTCTGAGGATGAGTACATTTTCAGCGAGTTTTCATTTTTGGGTGATCTATTCCTTTAACAGAAGTTTCACTGGCATTACAAGTCTGCAATAAATCAATCTTTTTTTTCTTCTTCGCTAAACCGAGTTACCCCATTCTTTGAAATGATCCCAGTGCAAAAGTCTGAGAGGGTCATTGACAGGAAGGGCAAAACAACAACAACAATGCTTAATGCAGATTAATAAGATGCAACTAACTTTTGTAATCATGGATAATTAGGTTAGCAAAATAAATAGGCCTTTCAGCTAGATAGGCTTTTCAAAACATAACGGGAAAACACTTCCTATATCTTTCGTTGTTCAAATCAGAGGCCAAACTCTAAACAGCATTTTGGCACAAATGTATCTGTCACTCGGTAAAAGCAATCTAACCAAATTTATAAAATGCCAACATGAATGAATTGCGTAACATGTTGCCGTATGACAAGACTGTATTATAATACAAGTTCATTTGCAGTGATTTTGTGCTGAACACAATGTGTTTTGTGCTGTGAATCTATACAAATTTAAAATATAACTAAGAACTACAACAACATGACATCAGGGCCACTGAAGGCTGAATTATTGTCCATTGTAGGTAATTATTTTTACACATTCAGATGCAAATACATGTTTGAGTATGTGTGATGTAATGTGTGGCAGCGGTGAGATATGGTTTGTGCACACATGCACTCTCATCAGTCTCTCATCTCAGCACCGTGTCTGTGGCAAAGCTAACTTAAAAGCTTAACATTGATATATTCTCACAACAATAACAGTTTACCCTGCAGTGGTGCCGAATCCTCTTTCAGCAAATTATTTATGAGTAATTGGCATTCCTTAACTAAATGCTAAAGACGGCAAACAAATCCTAGATGCTAATACTTGGAGATTAGAGAAGTTTGGTGCTTGTATTGATTATATCGTATTATATTTTTGGAAGTGTTTTTCCAGTTGGATGTGATGCTGAACCTTCAGTAGTGTTTAGTAGTTGCCAGTGTTTCACAATGAACTCTAAATGAGACAACAGTACTGCTTTTCAATTCGTTTTCTATACAACCCAATCAGGGTTTGAAATGAACACCCGCCAAAATGTGGGTAAAAATCAGCTGTGGCGGGTAACGCTGTCAAATCACTAGCCAATTTGGCGGGTTACTTTTCGTAAATTATGTTCACTCATTAATTTCTTGGGGAAGTTCATGCAGGCCAAATCTGCGCAGGTTTAGCACAAATACTGAACTCGTGAGATATCATGACATTATCGAGTATATTGCAAAAGCTAAACAAAACACACCTAGAGGCACGCATACACGACGTGATGGTCTGATTAGACTAACTTAGTGCGCGCACGCATTTAGAGTGGTTCTTTCACTGCATGATTCAGTCTATTAATATGCATTAAGAATGACCACATGATTCAAGATAAGGAGGCAGAAAATTTATATATTTATATCAATTCATATAGTTAATCAATATCACACGAAGAGTACTGTTTTTTCTTAAAAAATTAGCATGGTTACAAATGTGATTATTTATTTTATGCAACAGTTTAATAAACAATAAGTTAATATCAAGAGACTTACGTTTTAGACACCATATTGGCTGTTTTTGCGCTATTTCTGTGCTATTTCGCCAACAAAAAAAACATTCCAAACGCAGCCACAGTACTGTTTTGTGTCTCTGAGCAACATGACGTTGTTTTGTTTCTGAATGAATCACCCGTTTAAATGATTCGGTTCAATCGCAATGACTCACTTAACAGTGACTTGCTGCCACCTACTGGCGGTTTTAATTTCACATTTAAAGTATCTTTTTAAATAATTTCAAATATCAGTATTCAACATTTCATGTTTTAAATATCAAAAAATGTTTTATGCATTTGTTACTGCAGGCTAAAGCATCCCATGTCCCTCTGAGCTGCATTAACATGTGTAAATGCATTTAAATGCCACTTCATATGCAAATTCTGCAAAGATAAATTTTATTGATACTGATTTAATTTGTTTAGTAACAGCCTAAATGTATTATGATTATAATTGACTGATTAAATGTAAGAATTTGACTCGAAAGATGTACACTTTTAGAAAAAAATGGCTTTATAAAGGTAAGAATGCCCATAAAAGTTAAAAATCAATTTAAAATAATTGGAAAAGATAAATTTCTAGCACTGCTGTGAATTGACCACACAGAATATGAAGAATATCAAAAACGTTAGGAGTCAGCTGTCCACGGTAGTCCTTAAGATATCAGCACAATAACACACTCAGCAAAATATTGTCTAATTATCTTTATCGATAAAATCACAGAAAATATTGAGATATCATTTTGTCAGTATCGCACACCCCTAGTACTGACAAAATGATTTACAACGGTCGCTTTGTCATGCCCAGTGTAGACGGCCTCAAACTGTTGGTGTATTTCTGTCTTTTTTTTTTTGGCTAGTCGAAGTTATGAATGGCCGGTAACTTAAAAATGTAGTAGCCAAATTGGCTGGTGAGTGAAAAAGTTAATTTCAATCCCTGAACCCAATGTATAAAAAGTAGGGCTGTCAGTTTAATGCGTTAACTTAATTAATTAGTTATGAAAAAATAACGCAATTAAAATATTTTAACGCCGTTAACGCACTGGCCCCGCCCCCAGACCTTTCATACAGTTGACTGTTGACAAATATGAATGGGGGAAACAACTCCATAAATGAAGCTATGCCCTAAAATTCAAGATAATGGGACAAAAAATGCCCTGTATGAGTTTTTGTCTCATATTTATATCATATGATTATATCAAACAAGCAGCGAGAGCAGAATCACACGAGTGCTGTTTGTCCCAAGTGCAAATGTGATTTTATAGAACAGTTCAGTAAATAAGAAGTTAATACTGTTATATTTCAAATAGAGTATTGTCTGTTTTTGCTCAATTTGGCAGAGAAATGATTCCCTTTAAAGTGACAGCAGGACTGTTGTGCGTCTCTGACCAACACAGCGGTGTTTCGTTTCTGAATGAATCTGCGTTTTGAACTAATAGAATGAATGACTCATAAAGACATTTACCGCCACCTGCTGGCAGTTTTAGTTTCTTATATCTTATCATTTCATTTAAAGGGATAGTTCACCCAAAATTTCTGTCATAAAATACCCTCATGTCCGTTCAAATCTGTATGACTTTCTTTTGCACAACATAATAGAAGGTATTTTGAAAACTGTAACTAAGCTGTTTTGGTTGTCAGAGACTTTCATTGCATGAACAAAAATACTGAGATGTTTCTCAAATTGTCTTCTTTTATGTTCCAGACTATATGTTAGGCCGTTTTAGCCTAAACGTTTATGTGTAATAAATTTTATGTTTACTTGATACTTTCTCATTTCATTCAATAATAGCTTTAAATAATCTTTTGTGGGTATTTTCACATTTCACAGTCATTTTGTCATTTCCAAAAATGTAAATAATACATTGTAAACTGCGCTGTTACAGCGTGGTGCACAACTTTTTGAAATATAAATATTGCTAATTAGATTATTATTGTCTAATAGTGTTAGCGTGAACAGGTGGAAAAAAGATTGATTTGTGTCAGAATATTAAAGACCTTTTATTTTATTAAACAACATCACTGACTAAAGAGAGTAAAGCACTCACTGTTTTAAATGTATTATTTGCTTTATTGTTGGTATAGTTGGTGTTCACTTGAAAAATGGCATCTAAACCTGAATGTTTACTTCATTGAGGAACACTTGAAGGCTGTAATCATTTGTTTTTAAACAGCATTTAAACTGCATTTCCCTTGTACTTCTATGATATGATGAATAATTTATGTGTTGCTGAAGACAGTATTAGCATATTTATTGCATATTGAAGAAATAATTACTTCAGACTTGCAAGTACTCAAATAAGTAATCTACAGCTTCACGCGTCAAAATGGTAATTAAAATCACCAGCATTTCTCAACAGTTCGCACTTGTTGTCTAAATGGTAAAATGCCTGTAATGTCCTGGAAGCGAGCAGTCTCTTGTGAATTAGGTTTGTCTCTCAAAGTGCAAGTGTCACACAGTTATTTGGCACATTTGAGTGGTGCGCTGTGCAAATCTCTCTTAGTTTATACATAATTTTGTTTTCTAGAATATATCATGAAGGTCCTTTCATTAGTTTTTGTATTATTAGACTGACAGGCTCTTTAGAGTACATGAACAGGCAAGCAATTCTGATTATCCTATTGTCTAATTCTGTTTTGCTATTTGTGCAGTTCATTTAGACCAGTATGTTTATAAAGTAACAGAAACTTAAAGGTCTTCACAGCAACCTGTCGAAATAAATGTTTGGTTTAACTTGAAGAAACTGTGACAGAAATATACTTAATGTAACGATAGTACTACTACTGCTAATAAAATTATCATTAAAATATAATTTGTTAAGGAATATTTACCACAAAAATATGAAAACACACATGGAAAACACAGTATTTGGTTAAAAACTAGAAAAATAAATAAAACTGAATTTGAGAAAAAATATAACATTTCATAGCGCCTTAAAATTTAATTGTTGTTAATTTCGGACATTTCATGATTTCAATTAATTAGACATGCTTTTTGATTAATAAAAAAAATTGTTATCATTAAAACCGAGTCTAGAAAAATTAAAACGGAAAAAATAAAACTGATTTCATAGGGCCCTAAATTATTATTTTTTTTTTAAACTTTATTTTCTCTACTTTTCTTCACTTCTCAGGTGGAGTCCTTAACCGTGGGAATGTTTCTTAACTATCGAAACAGAAAAACAGGAAATTGATAGTTGATATGAAGAAAAACTGATAGCCAATGTCCAGTCCACGTAAAGGAGCAGAATGAACTGTTGCATGACTGCCACCCTGCCAATGAACTGACCCAGCTTTATTTTCTACAAAATATAATGTACTTCTCTTTCCTAAAATGAGACTTGGGTGTTTGTTGTCATTTGTTCAGGCACTCAACAGATGGCACTGTTAAACTGTGTGTGCTGACTGTACTAATGCAGTACAAATGAGAGTAATTAAATAAAGCAAACTCCTCAACTTCAGAAACCAGCCTCAGTGAGCAATGCTGTTGAATTGTTTTTCATGGTCATTCATGCTCTCACTGTACAGAGAAGAAATGAAATTGTCTTATTTAATCAAGCTCCTCATTGCATCTCAGTGTCACGTCTCTGTTCAGATCTCAGATGCTGTTAGAAAATAGTTCTATTTTGATTGAATGTTTTTCTTTTTAACTGTTTATTCATCAAAGAATCCTAAAAAAAATTTATCACCTCTTCCAAAAAAATATTAAGCCGCACAACTGTTTCAACACTGATAATAAATCATCATATTAGAATGATTTCTGAAGATCATGTGACACTGAAGACTGGAGTAATGATGCTGAAAATACAGCGCTGCATCACAGGAATAAATTACATTTTACAATATATTAAAATAGGAAAACAATATTAGAAATTGCAATAATATTTCACAATATTACTGTTTTTTTCTGTATTTTTGATCAAATAAATACAGCCTTGATTGAGCATAAAAGACTCTAAGGCAGTGTAGATGCTTACTTTGAGTCTGATTGGCTGACAGGTAGTTTGGGGTTTGTTGACCACATTATAGTTGTGTATTACTTTACAATGATCTCTCTGAATTCTCTGAAAAGCCACAGCAGAAACTGACTAATGGATCGCTTAACCACTGAATATGTCCGGCAGTGTCTGTCATTGTCTATTTTGCTAATTCAGCTTCTTACTCACGCACACATCACATATTTATCGTTATTCGGGGGAAGATGTTTTTTTTGCACTCAGAACAAGATTTCTGCCAATTTGGGGCACAATTCAAAGTGGAATGACCGTGAGCCAAGCAATCCTCACTGACAATGCAACAATAAAATGTAGCATGCCATGGGAAATAGTGCATCCACTACTAGTGTTTTTTATGCTTAAATTCATATAATTTTATAACTTTATGTAATTTGAGTGCTTAACTCCATTTTTAAGAGTGGCACATTTAATTAAAATATGGGAAAGAGTTTAAAGGAACACGCCACTATTTTTGAAAATAGGCTCATTTTCCAACTCCTCTCGAGTTAAATAGTTGAGTTTTACTGTTTTCGAATCCATTCAGCCGATCTCCGGGTCTGGCGGTAGCACTTTTAGCTGTAGCTTAGCATAGATTATTGAATCTGATTAGACCGTTGGGATCTCGCTCTAAAATGACCAAAGAGTTTAGATTATTTTCCTATTTAAAACTTGACTCTTCTGTAGTTACATCGTGTACTAAGACCGACGGAAAATTAAAACTATACTCTCATTCCGGCGTAAAAATCAAGGAACTTTGCTGCTGTACCATGGGTGCAGCAGACGCAATGATATTACGCAGCGCCTGAAAATAGTCCCCAGCACACTCCCTGTGCAAGCAGGTGGTCACGTTGGTTATGCTGACGGAAGTTAGACTATTTTCAGGCGCTGCGTAATATCATTGTGCCTGCTGCACCTAGGGATATGCCGGTATCAAATTTTCATGTTGCGATTAATTGCTAATGCTTTTATCACGGTATACGGTATTATCATGATATTGAAATTTAGTTTAAAAAAAGTGCTGTCATAATACAGTATAACAGGTTTAATAACATTTTTCTTATAACAAAAAATGCAATAAAGCAATACAGAAAAATTTATAAAGTTAAAAGTTTTACACAGATTAAAGTGCAAAAGAACTATAAAGACCAATAGGTGTCACTTTACAATAAGACCTCATTAGTTAACCTTAGTTAATGTATTAACATTCACAACGAGCAATAGCTACATTTGCTACAGAAGCTATTAATATTTGTTTAAAAAATACAAGTCTCAGTTCATGTTAGCTCATTAAATAACACAGTTGCAACTTTCCATTTTAACAACGTGTTATTAAATATTGGAATACCTAAGATCAATGAATGTTCAGAATAATTTTTCATTGGCAGTTTGTTAACTAATGAATTAACTAATGTTAACTAATGAAGCCCTAATGTAAAGTGTGACCGAACAATAAAGAATCAAAACACTTTCAAACAATATCTAGGGCATGTTGTAGTCCAGATTAAAATGTATAAAAAGATTGAAAATAAATAGCCTATTAAGTCTACATATTTAAGTATTTGGCTCTGTGAATAACATCATGGCAAATACACAAATCTGAATGGCTGTTTAAATCATTTAAACACTATTCAGAAACAGAAAGTAGTGCAGCTGCTTTGTTCACAGGGTTTCCGGGGTAACGGCTGCATTTAAATGAATTATTATTATTATTATTATTATTTCTGCAGTTTAGCGCCATCTGCTGTCAGAGAGTGAAAGTGCGCTTTCCTCCAGAGTGTCTCTCACATGTTCCGCCGTGTGCTTCTTATCCGCGCTTGTTTACATCAGAGTGCGCACGCGTCTTTCACGCAGCATACAGCCAAAGAGAAAGGAACAATTGAAATCGCATCATATGACCCCTTTAACTCTAGGGGAGTTGGAAAATTAGCCTATTTTCAAAAATAGTGGAGTGTTCCTTTAAAGTCATTCTGTGTACTTCAGTACTTGGCCAGTCATCTGTTCACTAATGCCAATACAAGAATGTGTCTGCACAGTCCACACATTTATGCCAGATTTATTTTGAATAAATTCCAGTGTTTAGACAAAAAAATGGTGTCATGCATGTTTCAGTGGCAATAATAAATATATATATATATATATATATATATATATATATATTGTTGCATCCAGTGGGGACATAATTACGGATTATAATAGGGCCTTTCGCACCGCAGGAAACTTTTCATAGTACCAGAACTAATTGTGGAACTACCCACTTTCCGCGTGTTCGCACCGCTGGAACTGGAAGCGATTTTAGTGCCGGACTGCCTTTTTCGAGAACCAAATTAGCTCCTACTCCGGAGCAGGGTCTAACCAGCACAACTGGTACTAATCGTGACGTAAGTA